AGATGTTGAATAGCCCTCTGTCTGAACGAACGAATTGTAGACTTATATATATATATATATATATATATATATATATATATATATATATATATATATATATGATAAATTTTGAACTGAAAAATTGTCTCTGCACGACACCATGATTATTAATAACTTTATTATTTGTCGATTTTCATAAAACATGCTGTAATTTGAACAGTACAATCTCAGTAGTACTGTGTTAAAATTCTACCTTTGGCACATTTTGCTCCAAAATGGATGTTGAAGGACAACAGCTTGTGTGGGTACCTACCACAGATGCCGTGCTCATCGGCTTGATGGTTTTGGCATCTACTGAAGAGCCAGGTTTATGAACACCGCGACACATTATCTGCACTTGTCCCACGGACTGCCGCACTTTGTAACGGCACCCTAGCTGCGTATTCTAATGCGATCTCAGGCATTGTGTTATTCTGGGCTACACTTGTCAAGCTGAAATAAAAACAGAAATTAGCAGTGGAATCCTACCATTTTAGGGATCACAATCTTCAAGCAAATATGGTGATATTATCAAAAGTTATATGTAATTTTCAATAGCGTGTTTCTATACGTCGACCCTAGATTTTTGATTCGACTATAAACCCTATCTACGTATATTTTTTCATACCAGTGTAAATCGGACTTATGTCTATCTTTTCCTCTCTAATAGAAATCGGAACTATTTCTACTGATGTAATGGAATAAAATGTCACCCTCATGAGTGACAACACTATAGGTAGTAACTACTTATAGTATAGTCGGTAAAACAATGGACTACAGTGTCTAGCTGCGACCTGTTCCAGCTAAACAGTCGAACTCTCTGCCTTCGGGCAGAGAGGAACCCGGACGAGGCTCCGCCGAAAGGCAGAGTCTCGTCCGAGGAGGTAGATAGACTGGAACCCGTTTATGCGGGGTTTACGAGGATTTTTTAGCCGAGCCAAGGGATCGGATTGCCGCACATTAAATTCAGCCTTGTGCCACATCCTACCTCGTTGGGAGGCTGGTAAATATTTCTAACTGGGATCTGTTGAGTACGACTCAGACTTACGCGAGAAATACCGACCTTCTAATAGTAGCACTCACTACTGGATTGACTTGTGACGACCTTTGTGCATAACTGTTACCTTTAATCTTATTGTACTGGTTTTTTTATAATAAACCTTTACTTATTTTATCCACCTTGTTTTTCAAGTATATATTCCTATTAGCACGGATTATAACAGCTACTTTTTTGACTCGATTGTAAACCGCACTAACGATATTAAATTTGATTTCGATTTGACGTTTCTAATTTAATGACTCTCACGTAAAGTGAACCGATGTCAACGTTTTTGGATTTTAATGGAAATCGGACCTTTGTCTACTTCCTTGTTTCTCGCGTAAACCGGACCTATGTTTCCTTTTTTTTTTTTTTTTTTTGACTCAAGTATAAAATCGGCCCTTCAGCTAACTTTTTGGAAACTGGTCTAAACCGGACTTGTGCCTAGCTTTCATTGCAATATTTGCTCTCTCTCCCCCTCTCTTTCTCTCCCTCTCTCTCTTTCTCTCTCTCTCTCTATATATATATTCCGAGTGTTTGGGAATTTTTACTTAAATCCACTAACCTAACCATAATCAATTGTCTTACTAATAACAAAAGACCACTGTAAATCTCCGAGGAATTTCCGGTCTGACCCCAAAAGGAATGCTTTCCAAACACATTTCTCAGGTTAGTTTAGATTTTTGGAAAGTGGATCAGAGCGTGAATTTTTCAGTACTCGCTCGTAATTCTATTTCCGGTTCTATCTCATCGTACTGGAAGTGGTGAGATTAACTGTTTCCATACAGGACATGCGGAATTCATTGACAGAATAATCAAAGTTACTGTCAGTTGGAATTTATAAAATCTTTTTCTAAAGACAGCTCTTAAGAAAATAGACTTCCCAAGTCCACTGTTATCGCTCTTTCTAATCGCGATGGGAGTCTCCATCCTCACGATTTTGTTTACGGTAGTGTGGAAGGTCAATATCTTGTTGGCATCATTATTTTCCCTTTTCCTTACAAATCCTATTTTACTTGTTACTGCTCTTGGAAGTTTTCAATTGGTGTATTTTTTTTTTATTATTTATTAAATCTCTTTGCAATTCTGTAATACATGTACAGTAATTTGTTTTAATTCATAATTATTAAATAAATAAACAAAACTTTAGTAGAATTCTAGGGTTTGCAATGTTCCGTAAAAGATCAGGATATTTAATCCTATTTTATTCAGATTAATTTGTTTTTTACAGCTTATTAACCCTTTGAATATTTAAAGCCAGACAATATTTTTACATTGCATGAAATTTATTTTGAGATAATAATGACTTAGTGATACACGTCTTACTAATTAACCCATAACTGGGGGAAGAGATGCATTCATTATTCTTCCCATTTATTTTTTATGTTTTTTGCGTGTAAGTGAATTTAACGAATCTAACGGGAATTGGAACTCGGCTCTCTGATTAACAATTTCGAGCCATTATCCATTGCATCACCTGCGCGTCCAAGCTTACAGAACCTTGTATTCCCAAGCGTTCATCCATCTAGGTACTGACTAGGATCAACGTTGCTTAACTTCGGTGATTGTTCGGAAACTGGTGTTTCAACGTGATGTCGTTGCATTATAGTAATTTACCCACGCACGCATTGACTTCAGCAGCTATAAATAGGAGCAGGTACTGCCTTTTTGGAGATGAAAGTTTCCAGCAGTCATCTCTGACAGTCGGACCGAACATTCTTACCGTAACACTTTCGTTTGTATATGTTTCTGTTAATAGATTTGTTTAACTCAATTCCTCTCTTTGTGTCTTTATTTCTAGACCCTAACAAGTTCACAACAGATCGTAAGCATGATTTTATACTGATGAAGATGATAGTCAACGATAAACATGAAGAGTAAAAGATTTTTCGTTCGCCTCCTTAAAACATGAAAACCTCCAACCACCCCTGTAGGATTCTTCATCTGATTGAGAATCGTTGGTCTATAAAGTCATATAAAGATTGTTTTCTTTTAGACTCACAAGGTTCAGTCGCTGGAAGGTATTTTTGAGCATTGTCGTATGTTAATGACAATTTTAGACAGATCTGAATGAAATTTTTATTCAAAATTAACGTACTAGTTACTCGTAAAAAAAACCTTTCCAGGGTCAACAAGTTCTTTTCTTGTTATATGTTGACAAACTGTACATAACTGACAATTCGTAGGTCTTTAGAACCTTTTCAAATCCTGAGCTGAGATCTATTAAACTTCGCTTTTCCCTACATGTTGGTTGTCACAGTAGCTAATTAGAACGACACATCTTTCCTTGCAAACGCTTAACATTAAACCTCATTAAAGTTTTTTTTGCTATCATACCCAATTAGATTAATAGTTCAGTTTTACACAACACAGAACATGATTTTCACAATCTTTTTTCTTTTTTAAATCCAAATAATATATGATTTCAGAAATTACATCACGTTTTTCCATTCACTTGTGGTGAGAATGCCGGAGTGACTTAATATTCCGGGTAGCGAAATTTCGTTTATGTTAGATCAGGTGAAAGTCCTTTTTCAGTTCAGTAACAGGTAACTTAGAAGTTAAACCTTGGTAGTAGTTGTGATCTTAGAAATTGGTGGCGACGTCAGTCTGCTTGTTTTATATTATTATTTCTTTTCTTGTCCCTAAGAAGTGTGGAAAATTTCTTAAGCAGATGACCGCTTAGCTTCTTCACGCGCCACGCTTGGCTTGTTTTTCACGCGACCCCTTCTCTCCTGTTTCTCGACTGTCTATTTATAGCCTTTTTGGCAAGGCTCCCAGATTACTAGCGCGAACATCAAAAATCTCTTTGTGTTAATTTTTTGAATTGATCAAAATTATTTCATTTTCCAAAGTAGTTTGCAGGAAAGAGTAACGTGTCGGAGAGAATAAAAAGGATGGAAAAAGATTTCGACAATGAAAACGCGTGTAGAAAGTGCGCATTTGCTTGTGTGGTTGGGAAAGTTAGACTGAAGGTGGCTTTGAATAGGAAATTAACTTACACACACATATATATATATATATATATATATATATAAAATAAAAACAGACCACTTTAAGGTTCCATGTAATAAATTATTTCACCACAGCCCTTTTAAAGGACTGCGGATCATCAGACTTAACTTCCAAACAAAATGAAAAGAAAATTTACACATTTTTGACGGGCCGTATTAAGCATATGTAAATTAACGAAGTGAGGAAGTGAGGGGGAGAGAGAGAAGACATGAGTGAGTTAGCAGACATTGACACATTTAAACGGTTAACTTAACGGAAGTTATATATTGATATCGAAGGGGTAGAGAAGAAAAAAACCCATAGAGAGGAAAAGAGAGAAGGAAGTCACTAATTTTCTTTGTCAAAAAAAAAGGTAGAAACAGACGGTGTTATTTTGTTTTACTTTGAAAGTGTTATTTTGGGGGTTCATAAAAGTAGTTTGTTTTTATTTAAATTATTTGCTCTGGATTTACATCGAGCTCTCTGGATTTTATCCTACTTAGGTTTACCCATACGGATTACCTAGTTTTTCATAAACTATATATATATATATATTAAAAAGAAGAGGGGTGCCGCAAACGTTTTTGGTTGTAATGTGGATTTATTGAGAAAAAATATTATACTTTGAAATTATGTAAAACAAAGTATATTTTTTTGTAAATCCACAAAACCAAAAACGTTTGCGGCACCCCCTCTTTTTTAATACATATTTTTCTCTCGTTGGAACCACTACAACATATTTCTTTTATATATATATATATATATATATATATATATATATATATATATATATATATATATCGGAAGTTATGCCTCTCTTATTTTGGTAGATTTTCAGTGACAATTGCTAAATTCTGGTTCACTAAGCTTCCGCTGTTTTTCCGTCGGCTTTTCTTCTTTTTCCTCTTTTTTATTTAAGGTTTGCCTTCTCATTAGTTGAGAGGGACGTTTAGAGAGAGAGAGAGAGAGAGAGAGAGAGAGAGAGCAGGCTTTTAAAGGAAAGCAAATGCCTTATTTTAATTCTAATTCTTTTGTTTTTTGTTCATATATTTTATTTTTTTATTGGCACTCACTATAGACTACTAATTAAAATAGTTTCAGTAATAATTTAACAACCATTTTAAAGTTGTGATCACGGCTACACGATTTTGAATCATGTTTTTCTCGTTCTAAAATATTTCTAACGAATCTTCACTTCGCTTACTACATCGTCAAAGTTCTTAATTCGCATCGGATTCCATTTGTAAGGACGAAGTTCCATTCGGACAACTACTTCCCAAGAACCGCCACTTTATCGAACTGACCCCGGAGAGGATGCTTTACTTATCACTACACACTTGGCCTCTTCAGCTCACGTGTAAACCGTTATCTATTCTACACATTCTCATAACCTGAATTTCTTACACTTTTTCTTTTATGTCCATACGACAACTACATTCCTCTTGGGTAAATCTTAGACCTTGAATTGAGAGAAGGATAGTTAAGAATGCATTAGTTTCAGTTTGGTGACGATTGAAGTCTCTATAGTCGTAATGATGTGTGCATTTGTTAAAATATTGTGTTGTATAGGTGTTAACGAATTCGGGATTCTCTACGAATATGTTTGCTTCTACAGCGCAAATTACGCATGCGTGAGTGTTTGCGTTTCTCTAGGCATGCGCAATCTTTTCAAAAATGGAGCCCATTTCCTCTGTTGGTAACGGGATCTTTCGAGCAGTTTTGGCACAAATTTTCTCACAACGA